CCGGGGATCGAACTCGGGTCTTTGCACTTGTGAGGCAGGCGGCAGAACCACTGACCTAAATCCCCGGCCCTCCACTCTTAAAATGGAAATTTTAACTTTAATTACAAAAAAATTAGCCACATATATTAATTATTTTGTCTTATATAATTTTTGTGTACTTGTAAGCACATGCCATTTACTAAAGAAAAATAAAACCTATGACATGGATACAATATAGACAAAATGTCCTACATAGAAAATGTTCAAAAAATGCTATTATGCTAATCTAAAAAATTTCCTTATTTAATAAGTTGTGTGCAACTTTAATGATAGAATTCAAGTGATATTGCCACTACTCAGTGAAAATCAAGAAATTTGAAGAGATTACACATTTAAAACATGTAAGTGTAAAGAATATTCTTATTTTACATGAAAGATTAATTTTTAATAAAATTTTGTGTTTTAAGTATAATATGCAGCTGTGAGTTCCACCATGTGGTAACTGGGCAGAAGAATACTATGTAAAAACTCAAATTTGGAACTTAACTATGCTGTGTCATAGAAAGTGATAGAATTTGAGAGAGCAAGCAGGTGCCTAAAGAATACAACTGGGTAAAAAAAAAAGAGGAAGAAGTATTTGTTAACTATGAGCATCACTTTGGTGCCTTATTCATGTTTATGCAAATGAAAGCTCTATTTACCCTGTAAGAAAAGCAGATAAATGAAAATATGACAGTATAATTTTCCTGTTTAGTCCAGTATTGCAAAAACATGGCAAGCACTGCCAACATTCACCACCGAAACAGATTGGTACTTACTCCCTCAGATTTTTTGTCTGGATAAATGCAAGTCTCACCACCAGATGTGAAGTTGCAATAAACTTTGAAGGAATCTCCTGAACAGCCTTGGTTAGGATCAATCCAATATTCACCTAGGAGGTAGGGAAAAAATGTTAGATGCACATTCATTGACGGCACAAATCAAAGGTAATAAAAAAAGAAGTAAGGGAAATGAGCATTCATAGATGTCTTTGCTTTTATGTTTTTTGGCAAATTAAGACATATATTTGAATAGTCGGGAGAGACCTTTTGTCTTTTCTGCCTCAAATCTTTGTAAATAGCTCATAAACTCTATCTAGAATTTTTTTTTTTTTTTTTAGGTTTTAGCACAGCCATCCACTTTTAGGATTCATCTTAAATGTCAGTTTTACAAATAATCTTCTCAATGGCATGAACAACACATGGCCCTACCACCCTGAAAAGGCCCAATCTTGTCAACTTCATGCACATTAGAATCAGAAATATTTGACCCTTAATATTAAATTTCCTATTTCATTTTTCTAATATCAGTATAACAGTCCATACATTTTCTCCTGGCTTATTCATCTCTAACAACGGGAGTATCTAGTTCGCCTCTGAGATCATATAGTTACCTTATTTTCTAGTGAAAATTTAATTTTTCTGTTTTGAACAGGAACCTAAGAAGGCTTTTATTTACATCTGTAAATTCAATGTGCTATTAATGCCATTACTGAAAGGCTGCAGAATGAATTTTATCTTGTTAGCAATTATACAGTCATTCTTCATATAAATGATAAAAATGTTTTTGTTAATTGAAATTACTAGGGGATAAAGCTGATATGCATGTGATAATTACCTTGATTTTTTTCCTGCCATTTTTTCCTGCTTCAACCTCAAGTATTAATTTGAATTATTTCAATGCAATAGTCATGAGATTTTTACTTTTTGAAAGTTCAAAGCTGGGTGTGACAGGACGTGCCGATAATTCCTACTCTGGGAAGCTGAGGCAGGAGGATTGTAATGTCATAAACTGAAATCCAGCCTGGGTAACTTAGGGACTTCGTAAAATCCTGCTTAAAAATCAAAACGAAAATTTAAATTTAAATTTAAAAAAATAAAAATATAAAAACTACGAAGGTTCTGGCTTCAGTCCCCAGGACTGGGAAGAAAAAGAAAGAAAAAAGTCAAATTCCATAAAAGTTCTTAGTATTAAAATTAGCAAAACCTATACATAAGTACTACTACACATAAACTAAGAAAGTACTTTAATACCCAACAACTTCTAATATTGGTCCGGTAGCCTGAATACACTATTTTACAAAAACATTTATCACTTCTTTGTGTTTTGCTTTTTATAATCTGGGTATCACTGTAGGTCAGGGTAGCCTTGAAGTAATTTTGCAGCCCCTGCTGTCAATCCTCTTGCCTCAACCTTCAGAATACTGGGACTACAGGCCTGCATTACCACCGCAGCTCTTTTTCTAATTATATCATCACTATATTCACAACTGAAACAAATTGAACTGCAGGAAAAACACTCAAATAATTAAAAATGATACAAGACTTTAATCTAACAGAAAGAGCCACACTGTTTTTAATATTTTATATGTTTGTAAGAATCTATAATTTGAATTATATGGGAAAATAATTTTACCTCACTTTATTCAATAAACATTATCATGCAATACTCTTTCACAAACTTTTATAACAATCAAAATGTCATTGTTCAAAAATAGTTCGGTACCATGTGGATATTATGTTCACTCTGTCTCTCATTTACCCAACTCTCATTTCTACTGCCTTTTTCCTAAACCAGGCCCCCATCATATCTTTATTAGATCAGTCAACAGTTTCTTAGCCAGCTTCCTTTGTAGACATTTCCCCTTCCCAAATCACGTCAAATCATTTTTCCTAGTTTACTTACTATTGTTTAGCCACAGTGACATTCTTCCAGTTTCACAAAGTCAAATTTTTTGTATTTTTTGAAATTTTGCAAATGTTCTATACTCTCTATGTAGAATACGCCTTTTATTCTTAGCATGGCGACTACCTAGGTTTCAGCATAAATGTTACATCTTTATATATTAACACTTTACTTACCCAAAATCGAATCATTTGTTTTTATATAAATATCCAATTTTTATAATTAGTATCTTAATATAGTACCATATTTTATCCCACCTATACCATTAGATAATAATACATAGCTCAAAACTGGTATTATTTCTGTTCACCTATGAATCTCTGCATGAAGAACAGTGTACTCTTTTCAATTGATTAATAAACAAATATTTTATTTTATTTAAATAATACACTTAAGAATGAATGGACCAAGTGTACACACACACACACACACACACACACACACACACACACACCCTACTGAGAGCTATGGCTCAAAATCAGCTTACCATTCCTAAAGTTTAAAATATTTTTCTTCACCTGAGCTTGTTCAAAATCTTATGTGATTTTATGATTCAGTACAGGCTGCAATATTCTATCCTTGATTTTCAGATTACTTTATTCACCAAGATCTGAAGTGTAAGAATCATACGAAACAGGTACATTCTTTATTTTCATTTAAATGTTGTGCAAACTCAATGGGAATTTGATGAATGGCAAAGTATATTCAAACTTGTGTGTAGGAGAAATTTTCTGGCACAAGCTCAAGCAAAATCATCTAAATACTTTGTTTACATAATGTCACTTAAAGGTAAGTGTCTTTCGATAAATTACTCAATTAAGTGCATCACTTTCAAAAAATGTGATTTTGAAGACTTTGGGAATCAGTTTGCTTCACTATCTGTGTTTTAGTTGTGACAGGCTGTGCTTGATTAATATTTTTATGATTTTTTATGATGGCTGCTAATGAATTATACTAGAGCCTTCTATCTGCACTGAGGTATTTAGATCAGTTAGACCATTCATTATATAAATGATAGTGCAAAAATATTTTCTTGATTGTAAAAGGGGAGGGGCACGATATTTCCTTATAAAATAAAAGATTTAAAATCAGATATACACTTGTAAGTTTAGTAGTTATATGACTTGTCAACAGCATATTTGAAATTGTTTCCTTCTCAGAAAAATGGATATGCAAAGGTTTTGTCAAATAATGAATAATAAGTTATCCTGATTATCATTATTAAATAAGTTATTTAGAGTTGTTTTGGCTATTTTGTGGAACTAAAAGATAAATTTTTGCCCCAAGTGGTCTGGATTCTTAGAGAGTCTGTTAACCAAAACTTGCCAGCTGATACTATAAATAATCATGCTATAAGGATGCTTAATATTTATTGTTCATGGTAATATAAATGGTAATAAAATATAATAATCACATCAAGGTATCAATATTAATTAACAATATCAATATATTAATTTTAGTGCAACATTAATCATACTAACATAAGTTACTAATAACCGTATGTTTAGTAATTGTGTGTATGTACAGATGTACACATGTATAATATCCATTCTGTGAGGTATTTACAAGACAAAATACATTTGTGTTAAATGTAATCATCTAAAAATGATCTGGTCACAATTTGATGAAACGTTATTTAACAGACAAGGATTTCCCAAAGCAGATCGTCAATTAAGATGTATAAATGACTTTTTCTGTCTTTAAGACGATGAATTTATAAGGGTTTGCTTCAGTTTTTTTAGAAAGTGTATTAAACATTTAATTAGAACTTCAATGAGCTGACAGTGCACTTCAGTGACTTAGCTGCTCAGCGCCCTTGCTTTGGCATGTATTATTAACGTACCATCTGGGAAGTCAGGATGGCTGAGGTGCAGGTCTTTACAAGTTCGGGCTGGATTTGTCTGAGTACCCATTGGAAACTTCATGTGCTCAATGTCTTGTTTCAGGGAGTTAAGTGAGCCAAAGATTTCCTCCATTCCATCTGAGTAATCGAGAATATTATCGCCTGCGTCCGCTTGTACACTTTCAGCATGTCTTCTGGTTTTTTTGGGTGACAAGATAGGTAAAGGCTGAATGACCTCACCAGGAGGACCCTGTAAGGAAAGATAATGTCAGTGCAAGTCTTCGAAAAGTAAAATATTCTGAAAATTTTGTTATTGCCAGGATGGTTTTTGTTAGAAGGAAAAATGGTTGGTTTGACTTTTCAAAACTGCAAAATATCTGAGTGAATATAAACTATAATTTCTTCTAAGAAAAACCAAGTGGGATATTGGAGTATTTGTGTGAGCAGATTTCTGCTACTTTACATATTAATGTAATGCAGGTTTATGTTTACCGTGTTATATATGTTACGCCCTTATCTGCTAATTAGGCCAAATTTGATGTCTGACATCCACAGCTATATTTCAAAGATTTTAGAGATTAGAATATCATTTTAAAGCTCTTAAGCTATCAACATAGTACTGCATTTCATAATAATTCATAATCTGAAATCTTAAACTTTTAGAATATGCACATATTAGCATGCTTCAATTTGTTTAACTTAAATATTTATAAATCAACATTTTAAATGAGTGCAGACTTGAATTTGCTTGTATGTTGCCGGGAGCGATGTGCCCTAGATCACTATGGCCAGGCCTACCTCACCTCCTCCTGCAGCAGATGAGGCAGGGCACCACAGGAGAAGAGGTGAGGAGAAGGCGAGGTGGAGCCAAGCCTGGCCAAGAAGAGGACTGTTCCTTCCCCACCATTTGCCTAAGCAACGTCAAGCACTACCTCCTAGAGACCCTCTGCATTCTCTCTGGTCCGAGCAGGCACGCCCTTTCCTTTAGCTTCCCCTAGCTACACTATAAATACAGGTGCTGAGGATGCAAGCCAATCCTTGGGCTTCATCAGGACAAAGGGTTTCCACCTGGTCCTTGGCTTCTTACCCTTCACCGTCATCTTTTTCTTTGTCTGACTTTCTTAATCTCCTACCATCTTTTCTCACTTTGTGAATCTTTCAGCCATGCAGTCGCGGCAGTGTGTAAGAGTAGAACCACAACAAATAAGTCTGTACTATTGTGGGTGGAATTGTATCTTACAAAAAAATCAAATGTTCTATTCATAAACCTCAGCATTTCACAATGAGATTTTATATGATAAGGTCATTGAGGATATAATTGCCTAAGATGAGGTCAGTAGAGTAGGATGGGATCCAGTATGACTGATATAAAGAGGGCAAAATTTCAAAACAGGTGTACATACAAAGGAAAAACATTGTGAAAAAACAGAGGGAGAATCTAACCCACAAGCCAAAGAAAGAGGTTTGAAACAGATATTTCCCAACACAATTTTCTTCCCATCAGAAGAAACTACTCCACTCACATTCTGATCTTGGACTCAGAGTATACAGAAGTGAAAGGTAATTCATTCTGTTCTTTAAGCCAAGCATGACTGCAGTATTTCATTATGACAGCTGTAGCAAACTAATACTCATATAATAGGAAACATTTTAGCTCAAGAAAGGTCACCAAATATTCTTTGACCTAGACTTACCTTTTAGTTGCATCTCTTAATAGTGTATGAAGCTTGGTATCAATCCAATAAATGGTAGTTATTATTGGTGTATTTATTTTATTTTATTTATTTATTTGTTTGAGACAGGGTCTCACTATGTAGTTGAGACTCTCCTGGAACTCACCAGGTAGCCCAGGTTGGTCTCAAACTCACAGCAATCCTCCTGCCTCAGCCTCCCAAGTGCTGGGAATACAGGCATGTGCCACCACACCCGGCTGTTTTTATTAATATTACTATATGAACAAGAAAAAACATGCCTCAAATTTGGAATTTTTCCTAGAGTCAGATATAAACTTCTGTCTGTGGCATACAATTAGTTGGCTTTATTAAAATATAACAAAAATAAATGGTTCTTTTGAAAAATTAAAAAGATTACTACAATATGCAATTACAATATATTTATATTGAATAAGCAAGTAAATACAAAGACAGGTCTTGGATATAGACATAATTACTAATTGCCATAGTTACATTTTCTATAAAATCAAATGTGTTTTTCCATCTGTCTTATGAATTCAGAGAAATCAATGCCATTTTCCACATGCAAATTATCAAAACATCACTCTTAACATGTACGTACCGGAGGCCCAGGAGGCCCTGGAAGACCACTTTCACCCTTTTGGCCAGAAGGTCCCTGTTAGAAAGAAGAGAAAGGACATTGAGAAAACAAAGCAGTGTAACAGGCTTCACTGAAGAGTTATAGTGTTAAAGGGAAAAATACTTACAGAAGAGCCTTTATTACCCTTTGGTCCTTGAGGACCCTAGAAAACAGGAAGTCAAAAGCAAAGATCAAAATCAGAATCATCTGTGTCTCTTTGGTTCACTTATAACTTAACACTACATTATGAAGTTCTTTTCTTTTGTACTTACTGGTAATCCTGGAGGGCCGGGTGGGCCTATGGGGCCAGCAGGACCTTGAATTCCCTAGAGGGAAAATCATCCAGTTTAATGAATTTTCCTCAGCTATCCATTTTCATGGTTTGCATAACCATACACATCCTAGAACTTAGAGAATTTGAAAATACTTAAGCATAAGATACAAAATTTCCAAATTTTTACCAGCTGCTCCTCAAAGGACTATTATCAAGAATATATAAATAACTCAAAACAATCAGCCCCTCCAAATATAAAGACCCGATTCAAAAATGGGCATCTGAAATGAACAGACATTTCTCTGACAAAGAAGTAAAAGTAGCAAGTAAATATATGAAAAAATGTTCTATATCACTGGTCACTCGAGAGATGCAGATATAAACAACACTGAGATTCCACCTCACCCCACAAAGAATGTCTGCTATCAAGAAATCAACCAATAACAAATGTTGGCGGGGTTGTGGGGAGAAAAGAGCCCTTCTCCATTGTTGGTGGGAGTGCAGACTGGTGCAACCCCTATGGAAATCAATATGGATATACCTCAAAGAGCTGGGACTAGAGGTTTCCCTTTGACCCAGCCATCCCTCTTCTGGGTTTCTTGCCAAAAGAATTAAAAGAATCATACCAGAGTGATATATGCACACCCATATTTACAGTGGCACAGTTTGTAATAGCTAAAACTTAGAAACAACCCACTTGACCATCAGTTGGAGATTGAATAAAGATGTGGTTTTTCTATACAATGGAATACTACTCAGCCATAAAGAATGAAAAATTAGACTCATTCATAGGAAAATGGATAGATATTGAGGATATACTCCTAAGTGAAATAAATAAATCACACATGTGTAAATACTGAATAGCTTCTTGGTGTGAATTAACTGTAATAGTACATAAGATCCTAATGAGATAACTGACATTGTGAAATGGGAAGAAAAGGGCTAAAGGTGTAGGGAAATTGGGAAGGTTAGGGGAAAGGTAATCATGGAAAAAATATCTGAAAATGAAAAAAATGGAAATAAAATATTTGTAAATGGGGAAGGGAGGAGGGGGTGAAGAGAGGGCAGGGACAAGGGGAAAAAATGAAAACCAAGACCACCTGTCATGTAAAGGTACAAAATCCCAATAATGAATGTAACTGTACTGTATACCTAAAATGTACCAATAAACTCAATAAAAGAAAAAAATGTATGTTAAAAGATACAAAATTTCCATTGGGAATAAAAACAATTTTTACAAAGTAGTTGAGTATTTCCCATTTGGTATAAGTTTTAATATTATGTCTGTAAATAGAAATTGCATACATATATGTCTTCATACCCTGCAGCCCTTAGAATAGCATTTGCAGGTGATAAGGGTTCAACACTTCTGAAATGTAATTTTTAGGATTTTTAAACTTAAACCGTATACTGTTTATTTTAAAATTAAATGAAAATCTCCTTGCAAACACCATTGACTAAAGCAAACGAAAATAGAGTTGTTCTAAATTACCTATTTGACCATGTTTAAAGGAATGTGACCATCTCTGCGTGTGTGCATGCACACATGCATTATAGGAAAAGAGTAAGAAAAGTCACCTAGACTTTTACTCACCCCATCCCCCTTGGCTCCTGGAGACCCTTGGGTACCAGGGAGCCCTCTGTCACCTTTTTCCCCTTGCTCTCCTGGAGGACCAATCAGGCCAATTAAACCTGGATGTCCCTTTGGAAGAAACAGAAAAACATTAGTAATATATAAATTACAGCTCTCATTAAATTCTAGTCATAAAATATTTGTACATTGAATTTATGGAACATAATAATTAACAATATAAAGTATATTAAAGTAGCTCTGCTAAATGGGAAGTTGAGTTGAGTTTTTTGTCCTCACCTAACTGGATCATTTACTGTCTAAATTAGGTCTGGTTTTTATTAAGGCTGGAGAATATTATGGAACAAAATGCTTTCCAAAAATACCATCTTCAATGTTTCATTTGAGGATCCTTCAACTCAAAGGACCCATTAACGTACCTCCATGTGTAATACTAGTGACATAAACAATCAAAGACTCATTATTTTAGTAAGAATCTCATTTATTATTAAACCATTTCTATTCTTTAGAGAATATGAAATCTTTAAAAGACATTTGGAAATTTAAAAATAATCCAAGTAATATTAATGCCATTCTTAAAAAGTTTTTTTTGTTGTTCTTGTTGTTTTTTTTTTTCTATTTGATGCAACACAGTATAAATCCTGGGAGATCAAATTACTACTTGAAAAAAAAATTTTAGTTTATTTTTTATTTTCATTTTTAAAAACATAAAAATGGCCAGTTTGTTATTCCATCTGCTCATTTTCTAAATATTGAGTTTAGTCTCACCATATGCTCTTTCCATATGGTTTCTTAGAAGGAGACATTGAGGAGATACAATACTGAATTTTAAGGGCCAGGAATTTGGCTCAGTGGTTCTGTTGCCTGTCTTGCAAGTACAAGGTCCTAAATTTGATCCCCAGTACCAGAAAACAAAAACAAACAAACAAACAAAAAACAAGCTCTGAATTTTAGTATGCTTTTCACATTTATTTTGCATACTTTCTCTTCTCTAAATATGCCTAGGAAGCTAAAACTCTATAGCTTTTTCCCATGGTTAGAATGACAACACTATTTTAAATTTTCTTTTGAATTATTTTAATATGCAAAACAAATCACTTCTACTAGTACATCAAAGTGATAATAGCACATTCTTCTCACCTTTTCACCCTTGGAACCAGGATCACCTTTGAGACCAGGTAAGCCAGGAGGTCCCTAAATTTAAAAAAAGATAAACACATAGAGTAGGCCAGAATTAGTCATGTTACTATTTCCAGAACTGGTATGGCTATAGAAATATAGAGCTTCAAAACTAGTAATAATTAGTACTACTTTATTTTTTACAATTTTGTATAAATGCATATATTTAAAACACCATGGTTTAATTTGTGATCATTTTGTTAAACTATAACATTGATAACATTTTTGTTAAGTACAAAAGCTTAGAAATAGAACAAGGCTCGCGTAGATTTTAGCTGAAGCAGTAAGTTTTTGATTACACTAATTTTAATGAAAGGGATTAAATTATACAGTGAGTCAATCACATATTTCTACACTAAACTCACTTCAAAGGCTACAATATTTTCAGTAATTTGTTTCAATACCCTCAGATTTATAGCAGTCAGTTCATCTTTGAAAACCACAGAAAAAAATTATGAGGATTTTAACACTGTTTTTGTTGGTACTTAAGTAACAACTACATTTGTATGTCTTAGAGTTGTTTCCCAACATTGCCAGAATAAGAATACAAGTTCTTTATATAGTAGCTTGAAATAGATTGTGCAATTCTAGGCTATGGGGAATATTTTAAATTATACTTTCATTTCTCACGCTTTCCTCTTGAAAGCTAGAATTATTTCACTATAACTCCTAGAGAGAGAGATGTACAAAGACCTAATAATCCCAATGATAGTGTGCATATAAACTTCTTATAGTAATGTATCTTCAGTATTCACAGCAATCCTGATGAAATAGCTGTTTATATCCTGTACATTGTGAGAAACTGGGTGATTCAACTTACAATACCAAAGCTAGAATTCGAACCCAGGTCTGTGACTCAAGTCCAAGATAATTCTACTCTATAACACTGGACTCCTTAGAGTGACAAGAATGGGCAATTTGAAGACAGTGCTATCAGAAGTGATACAGAAGATATTGCCAAAGATTCTAAAGCAGTTCAGCAAACTACTAAAGAAAGTCAGCCTCCAAAAAGGGGACCATTCACATGCTGAAAGTTTCCAGGAGGAGAGGCTTCTACACAGAAGACAGGACTGTGAGAAACATTCAGTATGTGACTTTGAGGACAGAAGACAAAACTTTTTGAATATTGAATTGAAAACCCTTATGCATGAATCGGAAATGCCCTTGGTAAATTATCATGCAGTATGTTTAATTGCTGAAAAACAAATATTTCAGAGCAGATGGTATTTGATGATTTTTTCCTACTCTTAATAAATAATTGTGAATTGAATGCTTGAAAAATCAAGGCTGCCAGAAATATCAAGGGGATTTAGCCCTTCAAAGATTATGGGGAATAATCTACAGATTAGGATTTTATGTCACAGAGACCTGAGAAGAGCTATGCGTTCTGGGAGAATTTTAAAATGATCAAATGTGATGCCATTCATTTTATTCCTAAAGAAGCAGAAATCCAGAAACATTAATTTTATGAAATCATAAGGCTTGCTAATGGACAAAGGGAGAATTCAACCTCTAGTCTGATGAATCAATGTTGTTTCCTTGAAAGAAATAGTTTCTGTTTCATCATATAAAACAACATATCAAAAGGTAGGGTTTTTTTCTCATTAGTTAATTGGTATTAACCCCTTGATCTTCACCATATATTTCCTCAAAAATTCTTTAATTTTTGAACTCTCATAACAGTTGGGAATACTAGCTTTTTCATAATTAATCTCTCACAACAGTAATCTCATTTTAACTTCTAAAATGATTTTCATATATAAATGACATAATTTAATGGCAAAGAAGTATATTTATCATTATATATATATATATATATATAAACTGTAGTGTAATGACTTTTATAATCCAATCCATATATTGTTATATTTTAGGAAAATTATGATAACTAACTTGGTCTATCTTTCTATTCATGTAAATACTTATATTGATGATCCATACAGAAAATTTTTAAAAAGTCTATAAATTGATGTATTCCAACTTGAAGCAACACAAAATAAACTTCATGTTCTAAAATTATGAAAGGAACACTATTTGAGCAATAGCTGTTGCTAGTAGGAGTGTAACTGACACTCAAAGATGATTTATAAGTATGACTCATGAAATTAATGCCAAGATAATTTATATTAGTCACTACTGCATGCATACAAGTAAGGCTCCAAGCAATTAGAACACACTATTCTTTGCCTTCTCTGGGAATTTCAATTATATTGATTGAACTGAATTATTTGTTATGCATTTAACAGTGATTTTGGTCATGGTACATAGAAAGTAAATTGTTTTAACTTTTAGCAACTTACATCATGTGTCATCGTTATTATCTCTTCTACCGGGCTACCATGAGTAATTTTTTCCCCTACTAGAGCCACTGTGATTCATCAGTGTGAACGATCTCATAATATGCCAGTCCATACATTTTGTGACTTTAGAGTATTAGGGGAGATGAGCTTGATCCAAACAGTGTGATGTAGCAGTGCAGAGTGTGAAGGGTTCAGAGAAGGATAGGCTTGGTTACAACGCAATCGTCTTAGAAACTGATTTTAGCTGAGTGAAGACCTACAGTTTGCTCATTTGCAAACTAGAAAATGCAATTCGTATTTTATGAGGCTATTGGGAGAATGGTAGATAAGCACTTCCCAATCCTTTGGTCCTGAGCCCTACTTCCCGACTGAAATGATGCCTGTCAGAAGTAAGAACAACATGAATCAAAATTCTCTTTGAAACAGTATTTTGTGCCATTTAATATACTTGTATTTGCTTTAACTCATAAACGAATTTCAAATTCTCTATAGATATAAAAGTGGGCAATTTACCTAGATCATTGTATTAACAAGCATTTTTTTTTCTACAGGAAATACATGGAGTGATCAAAAGATCACTTAAAATATTATTATAGTGAAAGACACAGTGCCTCTAATCTCCCTCAAAATTCTACTCCATTCTTCAAACACACTTATTCCATCTTTCCTTGCATTTTCTGAAGCGGTTCTGGAAATCCTGTCTCCTGTCAGAAGATGTGACTCAAAATACAGTGAATGTTTTTACCAAGTGTCATGTAATAGAAAGGCAAGCTCTTTGAAAGCACTGTGGTTTTTCGTCATCCAACTTATTCACCATATCTGGTGCTAGCTGCTCCTATCATAGTCAAAATGCCTGTGATAGAAAATCGCTTTGAACTGATTCAGGGCACCACAGCGGCCACGGCAGTGCAACTAAAGACACTCATGAAAGAGGACTTTCAGAACTGCTTCAGAAAGTGCCAAGTGGAGTGGGGATAAATGCGCTTGCAGCAAGAGGGAATACCTCGCCAGAGATTATTGGCAATGTGTCATTTACTGTAAGCACTTTGAAAAACATTTTGGATGCACGTTCACTTTAGTTTTTGACCACAGACCCTCATATTGCAACTTTAAGAATGTTTAACCATAGCTGCCAGGGATGGAGCTCAGTGTCACCGCGCCTGCCTCGCAAGCACAAGGTCCTGAGTTTCATCCTCGGTACCAAACAAACAAACAAACAAAAAAAATTTAACAGTATTCTTCTAAGAAGGACAATTTTATTAAAATACCTCTGAAGGGTAGATTCCAACATTGCACCTCCCTGTAGTTTAGGGTACCCTGCAGTGCTGAACCACAAACTGTAGCTTTCCAAGCAGCAGCATTAGCATCATCTGTGGATTTGTTAGAAAGTCAAGTCCTAAAGCTCATCCAGACCAAATGAATCAGAAATTATGAGCCTGCAGTCCTGTAGTCTATTCCATAAGTTTGTTGCATATTAAAATTTGAGAAACATCACTGTGTTACCAGGCCCCATGTTTAGTCAAATCAACACACAAAATAGAAGAATTTAAGCCTGAAAAATCTAATATGTATTAAAATAAAATTATGGCCTATTTAATTTACTAGCCTACTAATTTTATAACTGATATATTTTGTATTTGCTTTTTCATACGTTTGTTTTGAGACAGGGTCTAGTCATACATTTTATTTATTTATTTTTGGTACCAGGGATCAAACTCAGGACCTTGGGCTTGCAAGACAGGCAGCAGACCCATTGAGCTAAATCCCTGGCCCCTAGCTGTATAATTTAGATTAAACTCACTTTGTAACCCAGGCTGGCCTTAAACTCACAGAGATTCTTCTGTCTCAGCCTCATCGGTCCTGGTATCCTGATGTGTGCCACCCACGCCTGTGTGTATCTACTTTATTTTAATAGTTTCAGAAATATCTGTGAAAACAGCAATTTAAGGGAAAACAAACTACCAAGAGCATCTTTACAAAACTTCATAAAATTCCCTAATAGTATCTTTAAGGAAATAATATAAACTTGTACCTGATACAATCAAATAATAGTTGATTGAAGTCGTATTACCATCAGACTCAGTGTTAGAAGAATATGGAATTCAAAAATAGGGAAAAATAGTTCTAAAAATGTAATTGTGTAAAAAGAAACAAATGTACCAATAGCAGAAACTATTTAAGAACATTCGTCAGCATTGATATATAGTAAAAATCAATATAAAATATGATTAAAATATGGTATTACTTACTTTCTATATTCTCATTTTCTAATCAAACATTCAAATATGTGATACATTTTATGAAAGTTTCGCTCTGTGTAAGAAAACTGATACAGATGCCTTGTTGGGCACCAGCATTTCACTTACTTTTATAGTCAACAAATTATCAAGTTGTAGTGGATTGACTAATGGTCAGCTTGTAACACCCAGTTGAACTAGGTCAGCGTGGTCTGGACATGGAGGATCCGCCTGAAGATTGTTACCAATAGCCATAAAAAGAGAACTGAGGGGAAGATTTTGGCCTATTGATTTTCTAGGAGAAGTTTGCTTCAGATGGTTTTCCCGATGCTAACTATGCTGTTCTCGTTGGAGGAGGAGCTCAGGACCTCGCTGTCCCTGGGAAAGGCTGCTGCTTTCATCAGGGGAGCTCTGATCTTTACCTTAAGCATCACTTCCTGGCTCCAATGTGGACTCCTCAACTTGGTGGCACAAACCC